CAGAAGGGGGGTAAACACATGAAAGACACGAGCAAGCATGCATGCACTATATAGTGCTTGCTTACCCTGAAAACCGCGTAAGCGTTGAGCGCCACCGGGACAAAGAACAGCTGCAGCCTATTCATCCTGTCCCCCAAGATGTCGCGACGAGCCAGGTTCATGGCCATGATAGACCCGCACAGCTCGAACAAAGGAAAGAACCCCCTGATGGAAAAACGAGCAGGGGCATGACATGCGAGCGATGTTGCAAACTAATTCGATAGAGAAAAAAACACGACAAACGTTTAGTTACGCTAACTCTACAACACTCTTCAATACACAACTGCTAAGAACCGCCGGATCGTTTGGAAAAAGACCAAAAGGTGCACCATCTACTGCATCATGGGGATTACACGCTGCCAATCCTTTGTTGGGGACAAGAATTCAAAACCACGTCAAGATTCTCTCACCGCCGCTCTTCCTCTCTAAAAAATCCTCTAGGGTGCTTGGTCCCTACTGAAGCGTGAACAATAGCTTTCAAGCAACAACCCAAGACTTCGTACTTTCCAAACGATAAGTCAGGGTCCACCATGTCTCTCCCGAGGAACCCCTCCCCCTTCATGTGCTAGCCTGGTCCGGTGAAAACCGGCGTGCTCCGTCCCGGCTTTGGAGGGATGCGACGGCTACGAGTACATCCCCCCCCATAGCCCTGATCCTGAAATACTCACTTTCCGCTGTAACCATGGCCGAGGGTGTCCAGAATCTCGTATCTGTCGGCGACCATACGCCTGAACCCGTGCTGCCGTGAAGAGCTCATGCTGCCACTGCCACCAGAAACACTAGGTGCCCCGACGCTTGCAGATCCGATTCGGGGTGCACCGCCTTGGGCTTTGCGCTTGCGGTCGGTTTCAGACTGCGGGAGTTGTTGTCACGCATCCATGCGGCGGGGTCATAAACAGATCGTAGCGCAGGGGGGAGGAGGGTGATTATATGATACGAAAATATTTTGTAGCATACTTGACCATACTTCATTTCTGTTCAAGTGCAGTACAGCAGTGTTTATGTCGACATGTTTCCAAGAACAAAATTTTGTGAATTTTTTCTTCAAGGCTTGATTTGTATGCATACACGCGTGTGAGAATAACATGCCGTGAGGCAAGAGGGAGTCGGGAGCTCCGCAAGATGAGATTTGGGGGGGGGGATGGGGTGGCGGAAGCCAAGTCAGTTCTCGTGGAAGGAGCAAGTGTCATTTGTTTCGAAAGCTGTGTTTCTACGAATAATATGATATTCCTCATCGAGCGAACCGAAGAAAGTCGGCACATACTGTACAACTGTGGCATCTCAAATTACGATAGTAGATCCGTGCTAGGGTGCCATCTTATCACTGCAGTGAGACGTACCATACCGTAGGGACTGAAGACACGGAGCCCCCTTGACCGATTTTCAAAGCTCGATTGCTCCACGATAACGGTCACGATAACCGAAAGCTCTCGACTAGACGCCGCCATTTTCGTCACCGCCTCTCTCTGCGAAGGCGCCAACTGTAACTCGCTACAACAACAAGCTAGACTCACCGGCGTCTCCGACGACGTCGATTTCCACGTGGGGAACTTGACCTTTCCGAGCCGGCCCCACTGCAGCCGCTGCCGTTGCTGCCGCTGGTGCTGGCTAACACCGTCGTTGCTGCCGTCGCTTGTTGTGCCCCCGCTCGTGGAGGAGAAAAATCCGCCTCCTGCCGCTGCTGCTGCCGTCGCCGCGCCTGCCGCGTGTCGCGCTGCGATCTCCGCGGGAGAACCTGGGGCCGACGCTGTCACACCGCTGCTGCTATCGACGACGGTGCTGATGAAAACGGAGGGGCGGGGGGGGGCTGAGTAGCCTTAGCAGGATTTTCGTATTCAGGACTCATGTTGGATGAACAATGAGGGTTAGGGAATAGGGTCCGCGTACCCCCTCGTTCTATTTCCTTACAGCACTGAATATCCCGCCAAGGCGGTCCGGGGGGCTCCGTGGTTGAATATATTCGAAGGGCGGGTGGAGTCGAGTCGTCGTAAGCAGGGCGGTGAACGTCTTTGGAGTTCCAAGCCAGCCGCATTTGGTGCCGTAAGGAGAGAAGCAATGGACGGTAGTGGTGTGTGCCGAGGCCAACTTTACGTACTACACCACACATTAGGCTGAAGCTAAGCGGAAACGGGAAAGGGTGTGAGTCGATAACTACAGCGGTGCGTACTGGTGGGACGCAAACACAAGGCAGTGCTTGCCTCGCAGTCTGCCAGATATTTCAACCAAGTACCTGCCGCTGGTTGAGCTAATCCACCCTGAACTCGACGACTTGTTGCCTTTCGGGTGCTGCGATCTGGTGAATGCGGAAGAAGAAGCCCCTTGCTGCCCGTACCCTCGCCCCTGCGCGCGAGATGACAAGTCGGATACCGGTGCGGCTGACGACGAAGCGGGATGATCGACAGCCCCAACGAAGCTTGGGCTTTGTGGGTTGTCGACGTTTGCCTGCTTTGGGGGGCGGGGGGGAGGGAGGGAGGGGATGTAACGCAACGACCGCGGGTTGGAACGGTTGTGCGCTTGTCCCGTCTGTTCTTCAAGTCGTGCGTCTGCACACGTGCTTTGGTTTTCGGTTTGAGTAAATGTTTGATGTGTGCATATCAGCCGGGTTAGTGGATGGCGTCCCCGTTCGACTGAAGTATAATTATCTCGATCGGGCTCATTACAGCAGTACACGTTCTTCGCTTTCTGCTATTCCTTTTGGAGAAGCACTGCTGTGTACGTCGGCTTCCCCGGCCCTCTTTCTACGTACATGCGGGCGGAGGGTGGGAGGGGGTGTACGTTTTCGAACGTGGACGTTCGGGAGCCGGCGGAACGTTCTGCGAGCCTTCGCGACGGATACTCGCTGCGCAGGGAACGAGTCAACGGCGTCCGACAGAGTTGATGTGTGTAGCCGTGCAGCGCGGTTGCCAGAGTTGTCCGCTTGTCGCAGACAACCCGCAACGATAGTCCATTTCACAACAGCATCGCTCTCTGCTGGCGGGAGCCAGTCGTGCCCATGAAAACAGCTAGATTCGCGCTTGACAGCAGCAGTACAAAGAGCAGCAGGCTGGGAGCCTATGTCCCCATCTACACTGCTGGAGACAGCAGTGCTGACGAAAACAATAGACTACTGGTGCTGCAGAAAAATGACCGCTCAACAACTTCGTCCGAGGTCGAACGATAGCAGCATTGCGATTCGCTCTCAAGTCGCCACAAGGAAATCCCCTACCTGATCAGATAATCGCTGTGCGTGTATGGCGAGTCGGGAGAGTGGTCTGGCATGTGCTCTAGCTGTGCACCAGCAGAAACATCAACTACCCCGCCGCCTCCGTCTGCAAAGAAAGCAAGCTCCGCAACTTCGCCGGCAGCTGTTCCACATAAATTTACGCTGCTTTTTTCCTCTTGAAGGCGGGCGCGTGTCTTTCTCAAGAGCCAGCTACAACCCCGGACACAAACTGCTGCTCCCCCCAACAGCGAACTCTCATTCTTTAGAGACGACCCACAGCACGGCACCAAGCACACACCTGCTCTAGTCTACCCTTAGGAAGATGGTTATCATGTTCCCGTGGTTGACAGGTCATTCGTCATATCCAGGCTGCAGCAGCACCTTCGGCAGGCACTATTTCTCATGCCGCACATATAGAGCTTGTCGACTTCAATCGGCAGCTCTCTCTCTCTGCAACCCTTCACGCAACACGTGCTGCCGCGTATATGCCACTTATGCCCCACCATTGTCACGGAAGGTGGAAATGGGAGTAACCAATCATCACGACCCACCGCCCGTCCTCGCACGCAGCAGCACCTACACCGTTCCCGAGCCAACTAACCCTCTCAGCCAAAAATTAAAACACGTGCGCACACACACGCGTGAGGCTTATGCTCACCTGCTGAGGATCGATGCGCTTGGACCCAGTGTTGCTTTTGTTGTTGTTTCTACGGAACCGAGGCATGAGTGCTGGCGGGGGGGGTGCTGGTTGTTCGATGTTTGACCCAAGCGGGCCTGCGCTCGGCCGCTTGCATAAACAGCGCGAGGAATTACGGAAACTTCCGAGCGACTTTCGCCCCAAATCCTTGGGCTGTTCCCGAAAATCTCGCCAGGATCCGCTCTGCGGGCCCCGTGAATGACGGTCGGTCGGGTATTTTTTTTTGTGTTTCCTGTTTGATGTTCCGTCGTGTTTGGAGATCGGTCTCCGATCTGTGCGCAGTGGAGGACCATCAGCAAATGCAGCGCTACAGTAGTAGAGTGCGGAACTCGTTTCGAGGCCGTCAGATTTAGAAACAAGAACTTCCTGTGAGCACAAATATATAATTCGCCGTCTTTCTTTGGTTGGTCTGCATAACATTTATGCACGATACTTTCATCAGTTGTTTCTGACGGTAGGTATACACAAGGTGGATAGACTACATATGTATCGGGGTAATGGTGCAATAGGCCGAGTTTCCTCGGCGGAGACCGACATGTGAAGCCCCGAAAAGCCCTCGCTAGCGACACCTCAATCGCCTATTGTCATGCTGGACAATATTTTCCAATCAACTCTCCGGCGGCGGCAAGTTGATCTACATACGTCGTCGCCTAATCTCGATTGCTTCATCTCTGTACCCATCTATCCCCAGATGACATTTATGTGACGAGTTTAGTCTAGGGAGCTTTTGTTTGGGCTGAGGCTCTTCATTATTCCTAAATTTAGGCTTTAAATATACCGTGCTCAAGGTTTCTAAGTTTTGTTCTAGCGTTGAGCACTGCTGTCAAGTTCACAAGTGCGGGCGCTGTAGCTACTGCTACAGTAGAGGTCCCTGTTTAGTGCCGGGGTGTGCGCAAAAGTTTCACCGACACTATGCCGGGCACCGGCACTATTCAAAGTACAGAAAGACTTGATATTCCAGTGTGTGCGAGCCGAAAACACCGGCACTATACCGGCAACCGGCACTATTCAACCGGCACTGAACAGGGACCTCTACTGTATCTTTAGTTTGATTGAGTCTTGAGTCCAAAATACATTCATCTAATATTTGGTTTTTCTCCTCCTTCTCCGGTATTCCCAATTGGTCTGTACTCGGGTTGACTACAAAAAAGAAAGTAACAACGGACATTTTAGTCTACCCCAGCTAACACACTCTGTAGTCTTCCCAATTATCTAATGAACTCATGAGCTTGTCCAATGCGCGGTGGCACACAAACCTACCTCCCCAACGGCGCACCACACCTGCCTTCGTTTGGATTTCGCGAGAAGACGTACGCGTATCATTCAACAACTCCTCTATGTGACGATGGAACGAATATTGTTCTACAGCAGTAGGGGGGGAATTGGGGGTTGATAACCCCTGGCGTGGAAATTCACTGTACGGGCTTCGGCCTGTGGCCGCTAGGAGGCCTAGAGAGTGTCGACAACGCCACCAGCGACCGACTGCTTCGCGTTTATTTTCTGCCAACGGGTGATTCATGAGAGACATTATCGGGCGATATCAAACATTCGGCACAAATGCACCTCGATCTGGTGTGTTTTCTAAAGCGTGTACCCGAGTCAGCTTCCAGCAACAATATCATGGGGTGTGCTGCGGTACAACTTGGCATTCATCATAGCCAGACCAACCACAAAGATTACGCGGCAATCCTCATGAGACTACGCCAACAACAGAACCTCCTAAATAAATGACACGCAAACCCATGCACGCACAAAAATACCAACGAATGAATGTCCCAACGTAGACACGCCAGACGCGACGTGTATGCAGAGCAGTCTTTAATCCTTACGACTGGCTGGCTTCCATAACCCACGCGACTCTTATCTACAGCAGAACTTTCCCAAAACACACGGGTCTTTGAGGCGGGCCGAAACGGGGGCGCAAAAAGCATCAGCAACCCACTGCGGTACAAACAACAAAATACCACGCGCTACGACGGGCGCAAAACTCTTAGCGCCTGTTTACCACTTGGGTAACGACGGAGAAACGATGGTCGTGTCCGCTGCCGAGATTATGCGCTTGCTCAGGCGGCGGAATGCACCACCAAAAAAACGTCGCACCCTTTGCCTTTAGTCTACCACGTGCCGCACACCGTACACACACGCAGTCTACGTCCGATCGCCGACGTTGAGCTTTTTCCGTCGCGCTTCCTCCTGTGCCAGCTCTACCGCTTGGGGTTTCTCGCTGTCGAAGAGGCCGTGTCCCGGCTTAGGCCGATTCGGCCGGAGGACGGGGATCGCGCAGATGGCGCAGATCGTTGTGACGCCCACGAACACCTTTCAGTCGAAACCAACGGCGGCGGAGGCGAAAGGATACGGTCGTCTGTAAGGGAGAAAACCTGTCCGTCAGTCTCCCTGGGAGCGTCATTCTGATGGAAATAGGGTATATCTACGACCTTCACGATGTGGGTGGACCCGTAGAGTGTGTTGCAGCAGGCGTTTTTGCGGAATGCATGAGTAGCTGCTGCTGCTGCTGCTATGAATTGCCTCGGAAGTAATCGATAGAGAGCACAGTACGTTCGTTTGGAGTATGAAGGATAATGGGTTGCGATCGTCAAATGAAGATCCGTTTCCAACCCCAGATATTCTCCTCTCCTCATATACCTCGAAATATGGCTGCTGTAATCTACCGAACGGCCTTGATGTTGACTACTGCTGGAAGGATTGAAAAATTCGTCGGATGTTCAACCGCTCTCATGCGGCATCCATGGACTTGGGGTCTGGACAAACTGACATCAAAGAGCTAATGGAGCATCTCCTGTCCCTCGGAACCTCGGGTGAACAGTCGAGGATGATTGGGAAACCATAATATTCCGCCCGCGATGTATTTTTTCACGTATGGCCCTGCCAACGACAGAGACACGGGTGCGGGGGTCACTGACGGCAACAGGGAGCACTACAAAAAACGTGAAGCACTGGAGGACGACATGTCGTCGCAGGTTTCTGTCTGACTTCAAGAATTACTTGCGCCAACATTCTGGGAGATGTAGGTGAACTTTTCTTGCCTGTTGATCCCTAGGCAAGTATCCAGGGCATTGGGGTACTGAATGTCGCACTCAACCGCGGTCAACAGAGTCAGTCCGCAAATAAATGTTATGGTAGCACCAAAGGTACCGCCCCGAGGATGCAGTATCGTAAAGTGAGGTTGGTGGTGTGCTCTCCGCGAAAATTGACATCTTTGTTGGACACGCAACTAGTCTGCATTACCCTCGTGCACAAAACCGACGACTTCCCAGGTAACAAAACGAGGCTGCGGGCATCTGGAAGTGATACATTGCGTGCGTCTCTACAGCGTTGTACTGTAGACATAAAAACTACACAGAGTGAGTGCCTCACATGCGAGGTTGCATACCTTTTGCTGCTCGGTGAGAGGAAGCCCGGCCAGCGCCCTGTAGAGCCTAGTTGCCACCATCGTGAACGGGTTACGCAAACAAGGTTTTGGTCACGCTCTAGGGGAGATGACTCTCTCTCTGACGCACAGCAGCCCCGCAAGGCAGTTGTAAGGAGGGGTCCCGGTTTCCACAGCAGTGGTGGCGTGGTGGTGTTCTACGGAGATTCTCGGGGACGGAGCATGTGTGTACGTAAGCTTCTTGCGTGCGGATCCCCCTCCCACCCACCGGTGCGTTTGCTCCGTCTTTGGTCGCGGGGAGTGCACGCTGTGTAGTTCCCGTGTGTAGACCAAGATGCCCGGTGCGAGGAATATGCGTGACTCCATCGACGGTGAGGAAGCCCGCGACTGCTAGCACAAATGGAACTCAAAACTCATCCGAATTTTGCATTTCAAATTTCAAACAGCAGTAGTCTACCCCTCCGGACGCGGCGTAGTTACATAGTCGGTGCAGTTGATGTGCAGGACACCACTGCTGCACTGCTCGGTGGAGTGGAGAGGCCTGCCTTCATGTATCCGGACTCAAGTGGGTTGACGTGAAGCTCAAGGGTGCGAGGCTTTTGTTTTTATGTTCCGAAACACGTGCACGCCAACCTTACGTCTGGCGCACAACGGCAAGATCGGCGAGTCACCGAGGTGTACAATAGTCAAACGCTTTACCAGCCATGATTCAAGATCCTCGGTTCAGATCGAGAGGAATCACCGAGGTGTATAATAGTCAAAGTCTTGACCAGCCATGATTCAAGATCCTCCGTTCAGATCGAGAGGAATGCGCAGTATTTCGTAAAACGACGCATTTGCAAAATGCCATGCATGCGCGACTTTGCTCCTCTGGGTATTGTTCAGCAGTAGTACAGTAGTTTGCATAACATCGCCGCCCAATTCCAGCGAGATGCATTGCATCCACCCGGGATGTCTCAACGGAAGGCCCAACCCCAATGGTTTTGCGGTCAGTGTGCAGCAGTCATGTAGTGACTCTTCCCATTCCGACAACGCGGTGCAGCCGAGTTCTCGCCCAGTTCGCGGCCGCTAGGCCGTGTGTTGGCCGTGGGTGAAGGTTGGGTCGTCGACGGTGTGTGACACATGCCGTGTGCGGGGCTCCACGGTTCAACTCCGGTTAGGCTATGAAAAGAGTCACGAACAGACCCACCCTTGTGACTAGACCTCCCATATCAACCCGTAGCCTTCCCTATCATAAACTTATTGATCTCGCGAAGGCGGCCCCTAAAAACGGGACACCACTGATGATTATGGACCTTGAATGTAGGAAGTAACAGCAGGACAGAACTGGCCCGGAGGTAAGAAGAGCTAACTTCGGGTCCGAAGCTCAGTTCTTATTTCATCGCCACTGTCGAGCACAGCGGGGTGTATCGAAGTAAGTCTATAATAGGATCTGGCCGACCTGTTGATTTTTTCGTGAAAAATTGAGCCTCTGTTTCTAGCCGGAAAAATTCGTTGTGAGCACTACAGTGGGCTAATATCCCCAGAGGCAAGTAAGTGCACGAGAAAGAAGCTGCTGTAACTCTCGATTGAAGGATGAAGCAAGGAACAGGGCCTTTTCAGCCCCAAGTAAAAGGAGCTGGCCTGCCCCCACCTGCTCAGTCTTGCAAAAGAGAGCAAGGTAACAGCATGCGCTGCTGCTGTCCATAGAGATGAATCAACTAAGCGGGTTGCTATGATACGCGTGTCAACCCCTCTTAACCGCTTTGCTGCCTACCCCTTGGTTGCGATGTCCCAGCACCGAAACATACCATCACTGCTGTAGCTGACAATTCCCAACCCTGATTGCTGTCTAGCCCGAGCGTCGTGACCACACATGCGTGCGCTTCGTGTTGGTGCTTCGGCAACAACAACAGTGTTGCACGAGATTTCCACGATCCTCGACACCGGCCTGGACCGCAAGACTCTGAGCCTGCTCCTCGAGCTGATTGAGAGCGGTGTCAACCCGGAGGCCTTGGCCGCCGTCGTGAAGGAGCTCAGAAGAGAGGCTGCCACGCTGAGCAGGCAGCGATAACAACAACGCCCGTTTGTTGTTCTTGTTGTTGTTGTTGGAGGAGGAGGAGGAGGAGAGAGGCTGCCACGCTGAACAGGCAGCGATAACAGCAATTGCCCGTTTGTTGTTCTTGTTGTTGGAGGATGAAGAGAGAGGCTACCACGCTGAGCAGGCAGCGGTAGCAACAATGCCCGTTTGTTGTTCTGTGGTTGTTGGAGGAGGAGGAGGAGGGAGGCTGCCACGCTCAACAGGCAGCGATAACATCAGCGCCCATTTGTTGTTCTTGTTGCGGAGGGAGGGTGTGCAACAGCAGTAGTTGCTGAGAGTTTCGTGTGGACGTATCGGGGCCGGAAGCAACGTAACGTGAAAAGCATGTGCTTCGTAGCTCGAAGAGTATTAGCAATACCCTGGGGATGAGATGTGTTCCGCGTTTATATATATATACCGGCGATACATGCTCTTGGGTGGCCTGCGATGGACATGGCGTACGTGCGGTTGTCGTGCCGCAGTGGTGGCATGGTTACATCGACACAGCATTGATGCGTGTTGGTCAAACGTGATGAGGGGTTGGAGACGAGACCTGCACAGGCTGTAGGGTTCCTCCAATGGTGGATTGATTCTGGTGGCACTGAAAGGGCAGGTTAGGAGTCTCGTGTTCTGTGAGCTGGGCGATGCCTACTACCATTGCACTATACCGTTTCTAGTTGGTTGGCATTGGTGTACGCGTTGCCTGTTTTGGCGGGTTTTTTTGTGTCGGACAGCCCTTGGTTTGGCCAAGCCGCCATAGGCGTGTTCGGCTTTGGTTTTGTCCTTCGTGCCGCCTGCGACACTTATAACCTCCTGGGGTCATACATATTCCTGTTGTGTTATTGTTCTCGAGTTTTTTTATTTGTCCTTTGCTTGTTGAGTTTTTCGTAGTTGGTTGGTACCCTTGTTGGCTAGTGGTTAGGTTAGCCTGTGACCACGCGAGGCTTCGATATCATTCGCACCAGCGGGTGGCCCAAGGTGCTAACCAGAGACCAGAACGGTATCTAATGTCAAGACATAAGGACATCCAATAAGACAAAAACAAGCATAGGTTCCTTTACGGTTTCGGAGGTCATCCGGCGGTCAGGTCTGCGCTCATTTTTCAGTGTCGAGTTTTATGTTCAGCGGGGAACTTTCACTTGTCTTTTTTTTTCGATACTGACGATGTTCGGGTCACGTCTGGTGTCCTGTGCGCGGATGATTTACACCATGACGACCTGTAGGGGTAGACCAAGCCGAATTTGTACGCTTCTTCATGCGACAAAGGAAACAGAGTGCGGCCGCTCTTCGATTGAAAACGCTCGCCACAAAGGCGACTCAACTTGACTGGTGGGCGTACGGGGTGGATTTATGAACGCATTGCCATCACTGCTGAAGTTTCCACAACTTTTTTAGCGAGTCACGGGGGAACAGTCCCTGGGTCTAGATACTACCGCAAACGTTCGTGTGGCCGCATATTGTCCCCTTGACTGTCAAAGCTCGGTTGCTCTGCACGACCAAAAGGGTGCGAAAACGACTGATACGCACAGGGACAGATCTCAAAAGAGCTGTATAGTCCAACCAACCCTTCTAGACACTAGCAAGCCTCTTGGTTAGGGAGCAGCGTATCAGCAGGCTGACTCCTGGGAGAGGTTATCCAAGAGAGAAACAAGAGCACGAATCTGCTGCGGGCGCGCAGTACTCTGTGCTGCCGGCAACAAGTACCCTGTGCTACGAGTGCGCATCATATGCAACCGGTAATTCCTTGCTTCGGGCTGTCAATAGGGTTGTAAACCCATGCTTACGGATAAGGGCAAGGGTTCGACATGTTCCCAGAACGCCGCCAAAATTTTCATCCGCTCGAGGTCTCACGCGTCCTGATCGAACAGGATTGATTACAATTACTCCGTCTTATTTTATCCTCACAACCGTACTGCGTGCTCCGAAGAAGCGGGGGGGAAATTCTTCTTCAAGTCACCGACGCAACCTTCCCCCCCCCCCCCCCCCA